CTCAAGTAGCTGGGACTACAGGTGCCTGCCATAATGCTGGCTATTTTTTTATTGTTTAGTAGGCCTGGGCAGGGTTTGAACCTGCCACCCTGGTTGTATGTGGCTGGCGCCTTAACCACTGAACTACTGGTGCTGAGCCAAATTTCTTAAAAGAAAAAAATCATATAAAAATGCAAGGAAAAGGGCAGTGCCTGTGGCTCAGTGAGTAGGGCACCGGCCCCATATACTGAGAGTGGAGAGTTCAAATATGGCCCCGGCCAAACTGCAACAAAAAAATAGCTGGGCATTGTGGCTGGCACCTGTAGTCCCAGCTACTGGGGAGGCTGAGGTAAGAGAATTGCCTAAGCTCAGGAGTTAAAGGTTGCTGTGAGCTGTGATGCTATAGCACTCTACCGAGGGTGATAAAGTGTTTCCAAAAAAAAAAAAATGCAAAAGTTGAAAAACTCACCTCTCTCAATTTTAATAACTTAATAAAAATGTACAGTTATTGGCTCGGCACCTATAGCTCAACCGGCTAAGGCGCCAGCCACGTACACCTAAGGTGGCGGGTTTGAATCCCCAGCCCGGACCTGCCAAACAACAATGACGGCTGCAACCAAAAAATAGCCGGGCGTTGTGGTGGGCGCTTGTAGTCCCAGGTACTTGGGAGGCGGAGGCAGGAGACTCGCTTGAGCCCAGGAGTTGGAGGTTGCTGTGAGCTGTAATGCCACGGCACTCTACCCAGGGGGACAGCTTGAGGCTCTGTCTCAAAAAAAAAAAAAAAGTACAGTTATCAAAATACTTGGAACTATCATGAGAATGGAATAAAATTGAGAATACAGAAATAAACCCATACATTTGACTTTTCTTTTTTGGTTATTTGACTTTTGTGGGGGGGGGGCTGTTTTGTTTTGTTTTTAACAGACGAGGTCTCAGTATGTTGTCCAGTCTGGACTCCCAGCCTCCCAAATAGCTAGAATTACAGGTGCATGCCACTGTGCTTAGCTTTGGCTATTTATTTTTTGTCTCGTTTGCTCAAAACCTTCCAATGGCTTCCCATCATACTCAGTAAAAGCCAGTCTTTATAACGGCCCATTAGCCCCTCCCTAATTTGGTATTGTCTTACCTTTCTGACCTCCATTTCCTACTTTTACCCTCTCGTACTCTGCTTCTGTCACTCTGGCCTCCTTTCTGTTCTTATATGTATGTAGTAGGCATCTTCCCACCCCAGAACAATTTCTGCCTTGCTATACTTTCTACTCTACAAAGCATATTTCTCACTCTCTTACCTCCTTCAGATCATTGCACAAAATATGCCTTCTTCCCATAAACAAAAATCTTTCCTACCTGCAGCATTCTCTACGTCACCTTCATTGCTTAAATTTTTCCTACAACACTTAATCCTGTCATAGTATATATTTGACTTACATTTTTATTAGTTTTTTTTTTGAGACAGAGTCTTAGTATGTCACCCCTCAGTAGAGTGCTGTGATGTCACAGCACACAGCAACCTCAAATCCTTGGGCTTAAGTGATTCTCTTGCCTCAGCCTTCCAAGTAGCTGAGACTACAGGGGCCCACCACAATGCCCAGCTACTTTTTTAAAAAAAACTGTAGTTGTCATTGTTTAGGAGGCCTGGGCCCGGCTTGAACCCACCAGCCTGGTGTATGTGGCTGGCACCAAGCCCACTTATGTTTTTATTTATTTTATTTCTTTTTTTGAGACAGAGTCTTAGTATGTCACCCCTCAGTAGAGTGCTGTGATGTCACAGCTCACAGCAACCTCCATCTCTTGGGCTTAAGCAACTCTCTTGCCTCAGTTTTCCAAGTACTGTGTTTCTCTGAAAATAAGACACTGTCTTTTATTTTTTTCTCAAGAAGACACACTAGGGCTTATTTTCAGGGATGTCTTATTTTTAATTAAGCATAATACAACAATCTACATTTATTCAAATAGTTATCTTCTTCTGGAACCTGAGAGGGGGAGCTGATCTTGTTGGTGGGGCTGGTGCTAGTGACGTGTGAATTCCTTTCCCCTAGCCATTAGCATGTGCACAATAGGATGCCTGCGACCCAGTTACCACACACGCACCTGCACAAGTGCAAAGGGCTAGGAGAAAGGAGCTGTGACAGATAAAAGGTATTCCAGTCTTCCCTACTGCCCTGCCCCGAAATGCAGGTGTGGCTATGCAGATAGGCTTGCATAGCCACATCCATCACTAGGTCTTATTAGGGGTAGGGTTTGTATTTAACAAATGTACAGAAATCCTGCCAGGGCTTATTTTTTGGGTAGGTCTTATTTTCAGTTAAACGCGGTAGTGATAAAACGTGTGTGTGTGTGTGTGTGTGTGTGT